CTATTTTAAGCACTTCGTTTACCTTTGTAATCTTATAAACTTTATAGATCTATCCCATTTCCGTAGACTTAATGCATTATAATTTTGTTCATCGAACAGTCTATTAAAATTAATTATATGTATGATGACTAAACAAAAGGTAAACGTACTTTTATAAATAACAATGGAAGATGAATTTCACGCTATAATATTATGATAATGATATTGTACCCACAACGTATAATCAGTTTTTTTTTTCTTTTTTTTTTATCGCTTCATCATTATCCTTTAAGATGGCATTTTTTGGCATGAATTACAAGTAAAGTATAAGATTACAACATTAATTTTTGTCCCATTGTCTCATCTTACAAAAACTGTCGTACTGTCACGATGAAATTACATTTATTATTTCATGCAGTGCCTGTTACTTTTCTACACAGCGCCCCCACACAGTTTACAGGATACAACTTAAAGCGGCGTTAGCACAAAAAGGAAAAACAATTTATTTTTTACCTATTTTAGACAGTTCTTAATCAAGATTTTACAATTGGGGGTGTATAGTGTTCTACGAAATCATCGTGTCTTTTCAAATTTCTTAAAGAAAGTAACTTCTACCCGGTTCGCTTTTATTTTAACTAATATAAAATCACTAGAAATCCCAGAAGGATGTCTTAGGGATAATTTGTATCTGCTATTTATTGTTTATTATTATAAAGTTTATTTATCATAGCCAACCCTTGTGATGCTCTATCTATGTAAATGTTATGTTTACAATCAAAATGAAAAAAAAATACTAATATTCGATATTGAATACAATGATGTCAACACAAACAAGTAAAATCCTACTCCGAGCCGGCTATATGGAAATGCCACGGTAAGCGCTAATTAAGGCCAATCATGGGAGTGAGAACTCCGGATGTTTACATTTTTAACAGACTTCACAGCCTATTAATGCGAACTTACCCCACTTATGTTAATACAAGGGATTGCTTCTTAAATTACAGACAAATTAAACAATATTTTCTTTAAGCAACAATTCAATTAATAAACTAAACTCAAGGATAAAAAAATCTAAATTTAGTGTTTGTAGCACATTATTGAAAAAATATCGTAATAAAATAAACATGTTGACCTTTCCTTGGGCATTCATGAACGCAATTAGTAACAAAAATACCCAGCTTTATCACGGGAAAAATAATTCCATTAAACTTGATGAGTAACTATTAATATAATACCTTATGAATATTAATAAGATTTGTTACGTGGGGTGTGGCTATATTTTCAGTTGTCCTTGTATTCATCCTTAATACATTTAGCCAAATACCTACCAGCGGAAGTGACTAGGATTTCGGATATGATTCGCTTACACCCGAGCGAATTGTTACATCGGGGAAAATGTAAGTGTGTAAGCGTTGCGATTCCGCTCCGATGAGCAAATACAACGCGTTTTCGCGCTTTCAACAACAATGATCAACAATGTTGGCGCTATAAAATAAGACGCAGATGTTTCAGGACAATATGGTACAGAGAGTATAGTGTTCTAGTTAAACCTATTATGATGCCAATTTATAATCCATCCAAATACAATCAGAATTTAGCTACTGTAAGCCTGTTACTATCTGGGTCTTTACTGCTAGCTACACTGGGCCTATTCAACCATAACAAACTTAGAAATATTTTGATAGAGTCATTTGATAATGAATGTGGTATTTTCGTGATGTTCGCCTTCATTTCCATGGTTCTCGGTTCAATCCTAGTTACATCAGGATTTGTTGTCAACGATAAACCAATCCACACATACAGTTGAGTGTTCCACTGCCACACTTGGGTGATGCAGTAGTTGGGTGTTGCGTAATCGTAAATAGTTGAAAATTACACTTCTTCACCGTTGGTGTATGCTACTCTAATTTTATGCCAGCGAGTCTAACACACTACATACATAGGTGATACTGAGATGCTATTGATGCTACGGCATACATTAGGTGCTACTGAGATGCTACAGAACTACAATTTCGTACTTTAACATCCGAGTTCCTTTACTATTTTCTTTTGCTTCCCCTTTTACTTTGATGCTATAACGGTACGTATTGTATTAATATATCTGTCCTCTGTTCGTCGTCCTGGTTGATTAATTACAATACAATGTTATTGTATCTTTATGAACTCTCAACCCGGAGAGGTACACTGACATGTACATCGTAAAATATACAATATACAACATTTTAATGTTATGGAAACTGTCGAGTCAGAAGCTATTGTACGTGACATAATCATAGAATCTGAGAGAGGGTGGTTAGTCTCAAAGTGACTTATTTTCTCTGATTGTCGCGCACGCTTTTTCAAACAGTCAAGCGAGCGCGTATATCTCTGTGCTACAGCCACCCAATGACAACGGCAACATGCTGTTTAACTTAAATCAGGCAGAATGATAATTGTGGGTTTGCAAAATAACTTTAGTCTGTGTTAGCGCCACTTTAATATGTATTGTGAACAGTTGAGAGAGAGGTTATTATTCAGAGGGAGTTAAACTCACGTGTGAAACTCGTGAACAGCTAATTAACGTGGTTGAGACTACAGTATCGGGATAATGTTTTTAAAATTCTCCATGGAAAAAATAAATCATCGATGTAAAAAATGTATAGTTCACGAAATTCCTCTTTTCTTCATTTTGCTTTGAAATCTGTACGCCACACTCCAGCGTAGTAGCTTTTTATATTGATAACATCACTGTTGTTGCTGTCGCTGTTATAATCATCATTATTATCAACATCATTATCATCAGCCATCATCATCAACATCATTATCATCAACATCATTATCATTATCATCATCATCCATTATCACAACCATCATCATCAGCGTTAGCCCCTTATATTTTAGTAAAATAGCTGATCTTCATAGCCTATGTTTTTACCATAATATTTCCGGAAAATCCCACAGCATCACCCACAATATGTACTCTATTGTAAAGCAAATATATATCGGCGATCACTAACAATATTATTGATTTATAATGTATACCGGTATAAAATAAACACAACATAAGTTTGTCAGCTGCATAAAGCTGCAATAACAACAATTACGACGGCACAAACCAAGGACAGAAATACCTGCTATTATTACATAGCTTCATCATTACTCATCAATACCACTTGACTAGAATTATATAAACCATATATCTATCGATCTAAAGACCAGTATATATGCATTTATGCAATTATATTTATTAATACAGTAGGCTTAAGTAGTGATGAATACAGATGAATTAAAATATTAAAAAATATTAAAATACTGTAACTTATTTTAGTTTTAATTATTTAAATAGTGTGGGTGTGGATAAATGGAAAATTGACTTTTAAGTGTACGCCTAAGATGCTTACATCTTGTCCACTCATCTGTAGGACTTACTAGACATTTAGCTTTGCCACTCGCTCAGATGACTCACATCAAGCTGAAGAAATATATTTGAGTAAACATAAGCAGATGATAAAAAAGTGTTAATATGTATATATACTGTCTCTTATACACATCTAGATGTGTATAAGAGACAGATTTAAGCCTGTCTAAATTATTATTATAGTGTCTTGTAGTTTTGAAGTCAAGTTAGTATTAATTTTGTATGCATTCATGGTTCAGTCTAACCATGTTTCTGAGACATTACTGTTGTCACTGACTATGGCAATCGGACCTAACAAAGTTACGGTTTCATCATCAGTGTAGAACTAACAGCATACGATTAAATACCTGATTTCAAATGCATAGTTCTTTATATATCGCCCGTCTCTTTCGATATTGTCCAGTACTAGATCATGGATAAGTACCGCATTATGAGCCACGCGCCGCACGTAACGATAATTCCAGTATTGTGTACTTCGGTCTTGCCTCCTTTTGTCCAGGTAAAATATGGACTTGAAGTGCCACGAAAAGTAGGTTAGAGGACATCGCGTAAAATCCACGCAAAAACAGCAATAATAGTAATTAGGCCGTGATTTACAGCTAGCAGTGTTACAATACATGTGAGCCTATTAACCTGAATAAGCTC